GAAAGAGGGGGGGGGGTTACACAAATGCTTTCAGTCGGGGAAGGCGAGGGAAATGAGACAAGCACAGCGATGTTAAATTGTTTTGAAAACCATGCCTCACTGGTTTGTGTTCAGCTCGCTGGCTAGCCTGTTAGCTAACAGCTCGCCGTTGTCTGGGAAAAAAAAAAAAAATCACGAGGGTGAAGTACTTCGCTTAGCTGTGGGGCTTAGCTCGCAAAAAAAAAAAAAAAAAAAAAACACTGCAGAACAGTCAGCTCAGGCAGTACTGGCAAGAAGAGGAGAAAAAAAAAAACACTCGCACGCAAAAACACACACAGACAAAGAAATGAGTTTTAGACAGTAAACCAGGAGCCGAAACCCTGCAGGGGTCCCGGGCTAACAGCACATGGGTTAAAATGACACTGTTTCATGGCAATAACTTGTATTGTCTCCAACTCTCCGCTCACCCACCACCAGACCAGAATCTCAGACTCACCCTGTCACAACAGGCGCCATCTTCCACAAACTCTCACCAAAACTCCAATACTCGCGATATCCTTTCTCTCTCCCACAGCCCAACAATCCGCCGAGACAACAGAAGCAGACTGGAGGTGAAGGGACGAGGGAGACGGAGAGAAAGGGGGTGGGTGAGGAAGACAGAGAGAAAAAGGGGAGGCGGCGGGTAGCAGCAACACACGGAGGGAGAGAGAGAGAGAGAGGGAAGAAGAGAAGAGAGAGAGAAGAGAGAGAGAGAGAGCGAAAAGGGCAGACGCCACAACAACAGGCGTGGGAAACTTCCAAGATCACGCGAGAGTTGGAAAACTCTCACAATAGGCGAGCACAGAGGGAGCGTCCACTCTCGCGAGATGTGCGTGAAGTGGAGTAGTTGTTTATCTTGTGGCGCTGAAATACTATTCCCACGTGTTTACCGGGTAATAAATCACAGCACCGATTGGTTTTTTTTTGGGGGGGGGGGAGCTAGTGGCGAGGAAACCCTCGGTTTTCCCAGGCTCACATAGATTTTGAAGTGTGCATCCTGTCTCCTCATGGCGTCTCTGCTGTATTCAGCATTAACAGCTGCATGTAATTACAGACCAAATATCATTTTTATTTTTATTATAATACTTACCCAGTAGACAACTAGAAGGAGGGGGGGGGGGTGTGTGATGAGACTGCAAGGACACACTGACTTTTAAATAAGAGGTTGCAGACCAAATTTTTAATTCCTTTGGGTAACACTGCAGTTCCTGTTGAGAATGTGGAAACAATGATGTGAACACATGTGAATAGGCCGTACAAGGCAGATTAGTGCATTGCCATCACATTGGGGAGCCCCATGACCACCCTCCTCACAGCCCAAACCTCAGTCTAAGTACAAGGGAGGCTATTATTTAGGATGATCATGCTTGGAAATGTGGCATGGGATTTATTTGCCTTTTTCTGTTTTTTTGCGACTGCCTCAGTTTCTCCTCCAGCCAGATTGCATAGCATCCACACCGCAAACAGATCAGGTCATTCTTGTTTATCTNNGGGGGGGGGGGGGTCAGATAGTCGTAAACCTTCATGTAGGTCTGTGTGTTTGTGTCTTTACAGCCTTCATTTAAATATGTTTGGCGTCTTTGTTCACCTTACAAGTGACTTCTAGTGGGAGTTTTTCCAACTTCAAAGATTAAAGTGAAGGCTTCTGAGACCACACTCATGGCAAGTCAATGCTCTCGTTTGTTAGATGGTGTGTGAGATGCCTGCGGGTGTTTTGTATAAAGAAAGTGCCTGTGTTGGCTGAATGAAAAAAAGACAAAATGAATAGTTGGCAGAGCTACCACCATGTTTAAATGCATTGAATATTTTAAACTACAAGCTTAGTTGTTTTCTTGTAAATATGTGGGCACGACTGGTTAAAGCGTGTAACATTTTGGAAGATCCGCTCATTCGCTTTCTTTCT